CTATCGTCAGAATAGACGGTATTTACGTTGAAAGCTTCCATATATCAAACGTTAAGCAGACCCTGCGTGTAAGTTAACTTGCTTTTCAAAAAGGAATTTCATTGATAAAGTGTTTTTAACTTCAAAATGAACACTGCATTGTATGGCCCATTTCGTAATTATTGCCTTTCTTAAGTCATTAATTGATTATTCTTCTACTTTTTCATTTTGCAGAAAATTTGTTTTTATATTTTGAGTTATGTCATTGCTAAACAGCTAATATAGCTTACATCCCTATTAACTCTGTAAACAGCTTTTGTAAATGGTAGCTTAATTATTAAATTATTAAATCTAGACTCATACTCTCCTCGAAATTTTATTCTTGGAAATAAAACCTCTATTTGAACTAGTATCATTTTTTTTGTATGGCGCATTTACTTTATTAATGTATTATTATCCAACCCTATTTTGTATATTCTCTATTCTTATCTTGGCTTGAGATTTCCCTCTAACTTTTGAGCTTGGCCGATGTCTATCCTTTGTTATCCGTATAGGGATCTGCTTTTGCCTATGTTTATTTTCCCACTGCTTTTAGTATGATTTTATATTGTTTTATAGGGCGACCATTTGGCCAGAGCTGTCGGCCGTATTTGTGGAGCAAATGGTCGCATCCGGATGTGCATTGAAAACGCCACCCGTACACGAATTGTAGTGGCCGATCAGACAATTCATCTACTTGGCAGTAACGAACGGATAGCGGTGGCCCGTCGAGCGATATGCGATTTGATTATGGGTGCTCCACCAAACAAAATATTCGGCAAAATCAGAACGCATACAGCCCGACTTGACGCTGCTTTTTGACTTTATCCTTGTCAATAAATATAATTTATTCTTAACTGCCTCTATTACCTTGCAAAATGCCATTATATTTACTCTATGGGCTAAATAATTTATTGGATCTTATATTTATTTATCAGCTAGCTTACATGGCTAGTAGTGCCGCTTTTATATATTTTTTGTTTATAAGTATCAAGCTTCGCCAACTGCTACTTGGACTTTGTGCAATAATATTTCTGCTTCGTGTCTTAATTGACATGCTCAATAGTCTCTATATTTAAGAAAAGAAGGTTTTCATTTAGTGAAGGACAAGTTACTAGCGAGTGGCCTGCCTCATGCTTTTTCTAACAAAATTGGTTGTGTGCTGTTAATTGTACATCGATTTTTCTCAATGTGACTAGTTTTTATTCTACCTAAATTTGCATAACCTCTAGGGCTCGACTTGTACTGACTGATTTCCAACTACATTA